CAGTGGGGGGAGGGTGAAGTGGCAATATCCAAAGTAGATATATGAATACTAAATCAGTTAATTACAAATTGTCATTTATTATTCGGACACTGATTCTGCTACTTAACTAATACTACCCGTATCATCACAGGATCTAGCATTAGATAGGAGCTAGCTTGCTCTGCATCTTCATTAGTATCCATAGCATTTCATGGTGCCCGGATATGTCTTAGGAGAAAAACGTTGCATTAACATAACATGTGATAGATAAAATTGTGTAGGATACTCAAGGGGGGAAAAGCGTACTTCTGCACTTCTCAGTGCTTCCCATTACTTCTTAGTACTTCTTAGTACTTCTCGGTACTTCTCGGTACTTCTCCGTACTTCTTGAGACTTCTGTCCTTATTCTCGTCTCAATCCTGTTCACTCCTGCAAAATCCTTGAAAAGACCTTTAAGGATCACATTATTTCCTATTCGGGATCCTGTTCCGAATTTTGATAATTCCTGTTTTCAGAATTTTTTAAGGCAAAACAAGATCCTGTTAAGGATTTCTTTAAGTTTCTGCCAAGATAGTATTTGCCAGTTGAGAATTTAGTATACTATCAGGCTTTACTCAACATTCTGAGATGTATCCTAAGAACATTATGAGACAGGAATCTGGAAAGATTTTATTAGGTACTCGTTACAGTCTACATCAAATTTTCATGTCGAGGTTCTGTTATGAATGATAGTCACACCTCAAGAGGATCGTAGTAAAAAAAGGCTTGTTAGCGCAGCCCCTTTGGGACTAAAATGTGGAACTCACATATATCCCTTCGGCTTACTAAAATAGTTCAAAATAATTCATCTGAAAAATCTATCCTGATTTCCAAAACCTATAATTAGATCTTTGCCTATTTGCACTTATGTCTGTAATTGAGTATTAATTGTTAGCTCGTATATTTAACAAAGGCAGAGACTGGTTTCTATGGCCTGTAATGATACCCTAAGCTAGTTACTATGGTCTGTAATGGGCAAACATTGCTTTTTTCGTGTAGTTTGTAATTGAAAAAGGAAGAAATAGCAGCCTAATTAGTTAAGCTCCTAATTAGCACAATTTTAAACTCATTAATGTCTGTAATGGGGAGGGGAGGAGCCGCAAAAATCTCGCCTTTAAACTTACACTCACCATTTTCTTCGAAAATATATGTGAGTTCCACAAAACAGCAAAATCTACCAGAGTAAAAACTGATTAATCCTGCAAAGCTTTGACCAGGATCGTGTTCAGAGCTTTTCAACAGTATGCATTTCAAACCTTAGAAGACGATGGCATTTCTAATCAGAACCTTGATAGGAAAATATAAGCATTTAGAAAAAATCTTTACATGTTAGTACTTATTCCACGCAGTCTTGTCTGTTTCTTGAGAAAATCTTGAAAGATCTTTCAGAACCATATACCTCAAGGATTCTAAAAATTTTGATTCATGATTCTACCCAGGATTTGTTCAGGTTTCTGCTTGGATATTTTTCTGAATCGAATTTTTAGGATCCTACTAAGATTCACTGACAATCCTATCTAGGAATCTGACAAAAATCATAAAGAGAACTTCCTGAAGATTGCGTTAGAGCAAATCAATATCTGATCAGGATTTTAATACGAGGATACTATCAACAGTTATGTATAGTTTTATCGGAGAGAGTTCATACCAGTAAAAAACAAGATTAATCAGAGTTCTCAAATAGTAGCTGCTGTCAAATTTCGATCAGATTCCTGAGTGGAAGTGGCTAATAACAGGCATTTAGAATACTTATAAAACTGCAATCATGATCAGGATCTGGATAAGAAAATACCAGCAGCCAGTTAAGCTATTTTCAGGTTTGTGTTCTATAAGAAATCAGACTAGAATGAATGAAATGATTTCCTGAAGTTTTTAGATAGCTTCAGGTTAAAATCCTTTCAGATGTTCAAAATTTATAGACCAGGACAGAATTTGAATATCAATTTTATTGAGGGTGTGGGGTGTGGGGTGTGGGTGTGTGGATGTTGTTCATTCCCTCATAATCTTATCCATGCGCGCACCCACACCCGCACCATGGTTACCATACCAAATCTGGTTCATTAATCGATTCGATTGTAGACTTGTTAGTTAGGATAAAATTCTATGCCTAAAATGGAGCATGTTTGATTCGATATTTTTCGGTTAAGAACTTTTTCGACGAAAATACTCATCGGCAAGAGTGGTAGCCGGTGAAAATTGTGTCTACCTATTTCTGAAATAACACAAACTGATTCAGATATGTTTACACAATTTCGATTTTTCATAGTTAGGACGGCCGTGGCCGAAGGCTTTCTTCTTTAACTATATATATATTTCTCTTCGAAAAGAAGAATTCCTGCTAACTACGAAGGCATAGAAAAGCTTATTTAAACACAATTTAACGCGTTTTAACGTGTTAAAAAAAAGCTTTTCTGCCTGGATCTTACAAATACTTCTTTTCGAAGAGAAATATATATACAGATATGCNGGCCCGGTCCCCATAAAACCTTGGGCATATTCAGCTGGCATATTATTTAAACATAGTTGGTGTTTGTTACTTATGGGAACCAATAGTTATATTCCAAGCGTTATTCTATTACTACTGTTGACGTGGGTGCCTTAAACCATTCAATAATACTGATTGAAATCAAAATTGATCTTCTTTAACATTAAGCTAAATTTTGCCTTTGGCTAACTTGATGCTAATGAAATTTTCAAACTGGAATCAGACAGCTGTGCAAAAACTAAAACAGTGGCTTCATAGTTAAAAATTTTGGTATATTTAATGCAATAATTTAACAGTTTCTATCAAAGACAACTGTAAGTTCTTTGAAAACTATGAAATACGCCCAACCAAATTCAACTGTGTTTTCGACCTGTTGGTTAGTTAATATGTCTATGAAACAAATCGAATAGATTATACTTCCTAAACCGAACTACCATAGCCCATCCCCTTGATGACAATTGCATACAAAGTTGACATATTAATCTTTCTGAATTTCATGAAGGATGCTATCAGCCCACTCTTTCATCTGAACAATAATTATAACACAGCTTCTTCTGGAGTTTCTCATCAAACTAATTCTTAAAGCAACACGTTCAGTTATCTGAACAATCAACATCTTGAGTCACAATATTATATACAACAATGAATATGCTCGATTGTTAACTAAGCTAGCTAAACAAAATCGAAATCAGTTGATGAATATTCTACATAAATCGGCTGAATATAGCTGAGGTACTAATAAATATAGGCCAGTCGGCGGATAAATCTCCAGCATAGACACGAAAAACTATTCAATTTCGAGATTAGTAATAGGCAAGATATGGTTATAGTTTTATTTCAAAAAAGGTAAAAGTAAAGAAGCGTTGTAGTCACTTTTAAAAGGATATTGTTTCACACACACACACACACGTTTTGTTATGTCTGTCTATTTGTTCATAGTGCTAGTCACTTGTCCATAGTAACATGTTTCGTTAGGACAACATGACGTATGCCAAATAAGAACCTCCATTGGCGAAAGCTCTAATATAAAATGACAATATGTAATAATTTCCAGTCACAGTTTGGAATGATTGTAACAAATAATCATAGTAACCACCGTTATTACATTTATCCATGTAGCAGTGTGGTGCAGATCTGCAAGGAGAGGTTGTTAGTTGGCCGTAAAAACCACTTCCACAATTAGCATTTGTCGCACAAAATTGGGTCCAACCATTAAAAGTACCTTGGTCAAAGTTACCATTGGTTAGAACATTTGTGTTGTTTGTTGTGTCATTCACAGCCACATCATCAATGAGCCAATAGCGCTGACCAGGTCCACTATCGCTTGTTAGAATAAATGTAACAGTTGATGAAGAATCATTAGCTGTGAATCCATATGAATAACATGTATAAGTAAGCGAGATATTAGCAGTAGTAAAGCGAAAAATGGCCCCTGCTACATTTGGAGTTTTAGTACATGGTGGTGCTATACAGATTAAAATGAAATGAAGTGTTAATCAATATTATGCTTTTCTATTCAACACTTACAAGTTGTTGCTGTCGTCGTTGCTAGATGAAAAAATAAAATAAAATAAATAGAAATGAAGGGAATATATTTTTAGAAATTAAAGTAACCCATTGTATTTCACAAGATCAAAAATATAAATTCAATACGGTTCCAAAAAAATATACTCATTATCTGAAACAGACTATTCATTTTTTGCCTGTCTTGATGTTATTATGCGACACGATCTTCTTTGTGATTACGTATGCCTCCTGACTATCGAAGTTCTTCGGCTACAAGATAAATAGATTTGCAAAGCGATACTCAAATCAAGTATTCTAAAATGTTCCACTGGGTGTCTTTTCCTTTTAAACAAGTAAGGGTCAAAAATTGCTCAAAGATCACAAAAATACACATCAATAAAAATAACTGCACTTAGTAACAAATGCCGAATAACTGTGAAATGAAAAAATTTCATCTCGAATAAATCTCATTGCTGAATAAATGTAAATAATGATCATTTCAGGGAACATTGAATTAAAGGTCTCTATAGTCTGTAAAACAGTGTTAAAAGCACAAATCATCATCCTTCATTAACTGTAGATTTCAAAAGGAATCATATTGAGACAGTAGCTAGTTCAATGGGGGAAAAGGCGGATTCCGTCTATCCGGGATACAGTGGCAATCCACACAATCCAGAGGATACGATGGCGATCCATCCGATACGCACGATACGTTCCAGGCACCAAGCATACGAGTTTGTTCCATCGAAAAATTCAAAATATATAGGATAAATGTAATACCAGTACGATCAACCAATGCTGGTGAAAAAGTTGATTCGATTTCAAAGAGTTTTTAATCATTTTTTGTCACTTATTTCTGGTATGAGCACATTTTTTTCATTGAGTGAAATGAGTTCAATCTAAGAAAAATAACAATTCTATTTCCACAGTGCCAGCTAAATCTACTTGTTTAACGTTGATTCGATCTGTGGAAAATATTTGACCGAGCCGATAGGTATACAAATCGTCTTACACAAGTAAATACTGAACTTGTTTTCAATCGAAATTGTTTGACTTTTCTTACTTTCATATTTGCATAAGAAACTAATTTTAAGGATGACAGTAAAAAAAATTTGGAAAAATATCGTTCCGTTATTAAGATGTTTAAATTTTTTAGAACCTAATTTCGAAAAGCTACTCTTTTTGTGACTATGTATGTCTACATGCATTTTTCAACAACAATGCATTCATTTAACTCAAAATGTTTAACATACGTATATCACACATTTATCCACCTTTCATATAAAAATAAGGTCAGATGAATGAAATATGAATAAATAGATCAGTATTGCCACATATATAACGAAATTGTCATGTTTAGACGCGTTGTAGACAGGGTTGCCACCTCTTCAGCTTTTTTCAATTTTTTTCCGCTATTTTTCCGCTGTTCCGCTTTTTCGTATAAAACGCGTTGCATATCAAACCTACGTACAGAATAATATTTGATTTTATTGAATCAATTCTTATTGTTCACAAATACCGTGAGCCATCATTCTTTTATGTTTTGAAACTTTGATGAAATAAAAAGAAATTCAATAAATATGAAAAAAATGCCTAATATTCTCAGAAGCACCTCAAATCTGCAACAATATAAGCTTCCGCTTTTTTCTCCCGCTTTTTCTGTTTTTCTTTCCGCTATTTTCCGCTTTTTGGACTTCATCAGGTGGCAACCCTGGTTGTAGATATATAACTCATAACTCGATCATATTACAAAGCTGAAATCCTACTCACAAAAATATCCTGTTGAATACTTTTTTAGGAATAGTCTTGGCTCTCTACATAGTTTTTATTTCTATGACCTATGAAACTGTTCAAAACAATCAGGATTTTGATCAAAGGCATGGTTTTTAAAGAGTCTGATCTTCTAAGACGCCGATCAGCCAATGTCTGGCTAATAAAGTTTTAGAAAGAGTTCATAATGGGATGAAATGACTCAGTTCCTTGCTATTCCATCAGATAAGATGGGACAACTTTCTTATCCCATCGGATATTTTTTCTTGTTTTATAAAAAAAATCCAAGTTTTTTCTGTTGAGATATTTTCAGCAAGCGGTTTATAGAAACGGTGATTAATGAAACGTTTTACACTTTCGTTGTTCGTCTTTTTTCTTCAAAACATATATGTTCGTTGCTAATTATTTTCTACTTTTTATCATAGGAAATTTTTAAATCTTTTTTTCAGAAGTTTAAATAATGATATCCACAACTGTTTTTTGTGTAGTTCGATATATTTTATAAACGCTTATATTTTTAACATTCTACTACACAGCTATGATTTTACGAATCAGAGACTTGACTATAAAGAATCCTCAGTTTAAATGAATGTTGAACAGAAGTATTTTATTAATCTTCGATTGAAAAAGAGCTAATGCGTATACAGGAGATTCTAAAGTAATTGATTTCAAAACAAATTTGCAAAGATCTAAGGAAACCAACTAAAATACACCAGTATAGTAAAACAAAAGTCTAGTGGTTCTTAACACTAGAAAACTATCAAAAATTGCAAGAAACAAATAGTCCATGATAGAAAAATGCACTGGAGAGCGGAATCGATTATTTCCTATTGTTTAAACATATGAAAATGAAATCCTCTAATAGAAAACAAATAGATTAAAAATTCCGACTGAATTGGTTAAACTCAGATTTAAGAATGTTGATGAATTCTCTTCTGTATTTATGAGGGTTTGTTAAGATCCTAATATTCTAGATTCGCAGTTTGATTCTTTTCGAAATCAATACAATATAAAATATCACTAGAATAATAATTTGATGTCCAATAAACCAGCCCCAACGTGCATGAATAGCAGAAACTCAGGTGATAAAACGAAAAGGTCGTTGAAATTGATTCTAGATTTAAAGCAAATATTTTTATTAGACAAGCTGTCTCATGGAATATATTTTCCCTCCAATTATGAGCGCCGACTTTAAAATATGAACTGAACATTATAAAGCAATGCTAAAATTGACCTGGTATCTTGTAGACGGATCCTTCGAACTATATTCAAGGATCCTCAACAGTAACTGATTTTCTGTAACAAAATACGCTCCGTTTCAATAAAAAAATGCATAGAAAAGCAGCACCATGTGAAATAAATTTCATCTAATATAAATTAGTACCTGAGTACTTATCCAGTTCCATAAAATCTTTTAGCAATGATAGAAAATCAATCTAAGAATTCTCGTACGTCTTGCAATCCTTATTTGAACAAGTTTTTATAAAAATCCTCGTATATTTCCACGAAGATTTTCAGAAAATTTCTTTCTTTTTCTCTTTAGAGGAGTTTTTGAGAGAACCTATAGAACGTTATATACTGATTTCTATTGAATAGTTTTTATTTCACTTTATGAAAATTTTCTATTAATTTTCAAGTGAAGTCGAGTATATTTTCAGCAGAAAAAGGGCCACCTGTGAGTATCTTACAATAAGTCACCCAAACAGATTCTAGGAGATCCCATGTTAAGTTTTGCAGAACTTTATGGTATTTATTATGTCCCTCAAAATCATACCAAAGGAACTTCTATTGATAAAGTATTTTGTGAAATCGGTCCGTGACAGTATAGAGTTTTCAAGTATTTAGAGCATTACATTTTTGTCACAGGCAGTGCTCTATGAAATTCTACTACAGTCAAAATATTAGCGTTCTAGCACGATTTCTTCATGGAATATCTATATTCATATAGTATTACAAAAATGATCCTTTTGCTGTGCATCTCTTCGTATTGATGAAGTTATTTTTTACGATTATTATATAAAGTTAAGGCATGCACACACTGAGCAGCTCAAGCGAAAACGGATCTGTTTTTGCTGGAATATGTCTGTTATAAAAAATACCAAGCAAATCTGCTCTTTTGAGGACAGCGTTCTCAGCAATATTTACGTACTCTCGGAACTAAGCACTATGTTTGTCAACAATTTACGTCAAAAGCAGGGTGTCCAGATCTTCCGATATTGCAGGAAAGATTCCGATTTTTGAACTTTTTCCGACGGCTTTCCGACGTTCCGATTTTTTCCGATTTTTGCATCTTTTTCCGATAACTTTCCAATTTCCTCATTTTCTTCGGTTTTTTTAATTTTTTTTAAAGTTAAGCTTTTTGAGCACTCCAAGATAATTTAATCGTATACGAACCGATCAATTCTGGTCTGTCTTACTAAATAATTGTCTGAATTCAACATGAAATATGAAAAAACTCATTTGTTAAACTTTTTCAATTCCACAAGCAAACCCTTTTGCCGAAACAATATTTAGTCATAATGAGACATTTATGGTTTGATTATCGTAATGGAATGAATATTGAATTAACTGCTGCAGAATTGAAAATCAGAATGAATTTTAATTATCCTAGCGAGTATTTGTATAAATATCTTTTAACTCAGCGTGATATATTGAAGGACATTCGAGCTAATGAAAAATATGAGCGAAAAAACATTGTGACGTTTAATAAATTTTAGCGTGTTTTGATTATATTTTTATATCAAATTGATTCTAAGATTATTGAAAAAATGAGCAGGAACAGAATCAATGATATTATGTTATCAAGGGAAAAACAACCAAGCTATTTATTTTAGCATCAAAAAACCACTTTCCGAATTTTTTCCGATTTTAATAAAAAGATTTCCAATTTTTGAATTTTCGATCTGGCAACCCTGGTCTAAAGTCTTAAAACTTTTATTTCCAC